GAGAGATCCCCAAAAGATATAAAGTTCTTGCTCTTGGGGAACCAGAGACATTAAGGGGTCAATACTAGTGAATAAACAGAACAAAGGGTGATGATACTCCATGAACAGTGCTGCAGGATCTCAACCTCCTATAAGAGAAGCAAGGCTAGCATGTACCCGAGGTCAACAAATACAGCAGGCCTAAAGGACACGAGAGGGGCAGGGAATACAGCTCAGCGGCACAGAGCCTGCTTGGTAAGGCTGAGGTCCCGAGTTCCATCCCATATATATATATATGCAATGTCTGCAGAAAAGTGTGAATCCTAAAGGCCTCCGGGAGGAATGAGAGGATCAGGGCAGCATTCAGAGGCTGCAAGGGGGAGGGAGCAGCTCTGTGAATTTCTCTACAGTAAAAAGTGAGCCAGCAAAAGCTGCTCCCAAAAATCACAGCGAAAATTATTTTCAACTTGAGGGCTTATACCCAACCAATGTGCAAGTCGAGCATTTTGAGGCCAGCAACCTTCAGACCTTTAAGGGCCCAGAAGATGTATTTCTTATTCATCCCTGCTTAAGAAGATGCTGCCGTGTGTACTTCAGCAAAAGGGAACAGTGAAACAGGAACCAAGACGGAAGAGGCGCGCTCAGCCAGAATCTGCCTCCGGCCGACTTAACCAAGAGATTTAGCCAACAGATTTTAGACCCTGTTGGTATGAATGAAAAATGACGCAGTTGCTATAGAAAACAGTGCAGCACTTCTTCAAAAAAGCTAAATTCAGAATTATCATAGGGCTCAGCAGTTCACTCCTGGTTATACACACACCACGCACACACTGAAGCCAGATGTCAAACGTTTATATTCATAGCAGCCTTGTTCACAGGACCCAGAGGTGGACACACCCTGCTGAATGGGCAAGCAGAATGTGATGTAGTCACATAACAGAGTACTACTCAGCCTTAAAAAAGGAAAGAGATTTTGTTCATGGTTCCAGTAGGGGAGAGAAAGAGAAGGAGCAAGGAGCAGGGCATCTGGGGGGAGGAGGGGCCTGCCTTAGCTGCTGCCACGGCCACCACCACCTGCCTCTGTGCTCCTGGCCTGGGGAGAGTAGGTGTGAGTCCTGAGTGTGAGCTGGCAGCAGGGAGGTGATGGCAGATACAGATAAATTCAGCATGGACAGCGTTATCCAACAGCTGCTGAAAGTGAGAGGGTCCAAGCCAGTTGGACCAGGCCTGAGCCTGTCCGTTCAGAAAGCTTCAGGTTATAGAAACAATACTGTTCTATAGGAGTGACCGATTATGCTTTCTTTGGCCTACACTCTATTCCGTGGTGAAGTTGAGGCTTATAAGTCCGCACAAAGGAACTCAGCTTGCAGTCCATCAGTTTATACAGGACTCACAGTATTTATGACTTTTTAAAATTAAGATCTGTTTTTAAAAAATCTGTTTAAACAGATGACTGTGTACAGTGCCAGGTGGTGAAAATGAATCAGACTTATTAAATGACAACCTTGTTAAATCTTCTGTGTCATTCATCAGCACAGTACACACAGGAAAACTGGTGATGGCACAGTGAATGGATTTTAGTGTATAAACTGCTCTGGAAACCACAAAAAAAAAAGAAAAAAAGGAAAGAGATCTTAAACTGGGCATGCTAGTGCATGCCTATATCCCAGCACTCAGGAAGGCTGGGGCAGGAAGATTATGAATTTGAACCTATCATGGGCAACTTAGTGATTTAGTGAGCCCCTGTCTCAAAATAAATAAAAGCTTGGTGATATATCTTAGTATGAAGGCCCTGGGTTAACTCCCCAGTACAAAAGAAATAAAAGGGCCCAAACCCTCCTGTGCCCCGAGGTGAACTCTGGAAGGGGCTGGTGGTAGGGCTTATTGCTGCCTTGGGGCTGAGGAGACAGGAGCCTGGGGTGCGGCCTGGAGGGGCACATTCCCTCCTTGGCTCCTCCCTTCTCCCTGCTTCCTGTGGCCCGAGGGGAGCACCTTCTCCTCCTCCAGACCCCTCAGCCCACCACCAGCTGTGCGCACCAGCTGATTGCAGACTGAAACATGGGCCAGAAACGAACCTTTCTCCTTTTAGTTGCAGATATTTTAGTCGGTATTTTGTCTTAGTGATGTGAAGAGTGACTAAAATACTTACAGTAATCAAAAGCACAGAGACAGAAAGTAGACTCGTGGTCGCCAGGGGCTGGCGAGTAGGGAGCTAGTGCTTAATGGAAACAGTTTCAGTTTTAATGAATGGAGTGGACAGATGGATGGTGGCGATGGTTGTACAACATTATAAATATATTTAAAGACACTGCACTGTACATTTGAAGTGGCTGAGAGGGTAACATATCCTGAGTGTTTTTACTGCAATGCAATAAAAGGTTATTGGGCCTCTGAGAATAGCCGGGAAGGCTGGGGGGCAGGTCTCTGACGCTGGGGCAACACCGACATGTCACGTCACCTGGTCTGTTGGGGACAACACTGAGAGTGCCGCTGATTCGGAAGTCCTGGACTCTGGAGCAATCCTACATCATGCTTCCAGAAAGTTCCTCAAAGACCTCATGTCTTCAGGTTTCCTGCTCCTGACTCCAGCCTAAGGAGGGATCCTCTGATCATAGAGCCTTGGCCTTGTGGCTGGACTCTGGCAACTGGAGAGGCCAGGAAACCGATCATGATGGTTCTTGTTCCTAGGATGTGATGCACAAGTACGGTAAAGAGAGGAAATCTACGACACCCACTTCACAGCAGGTCTCCGGAAGAGACCAGTCGTCCAGGCTGGGGGCCACAGGACACATGGAAACAAAAGAAATGGCCATGATAGATTTCTGAAGAGCCGGAGTAATTGGAAACAACATGGAGAAGCATTTGATGTATCTGCCAGAATATTTAAATAAACATGGTGATAGAAAACTAAGGAAATAAAAAACCAAGACAATTACTACTTTCAGGAAACAGAAAAGTTGGGCAAAAAAAGAAGTGTGATCCTACTGCAACATGCGGCTCAGAACGAAGCAATATGAATATTAGCTCTAGATTTAACTTTAAAAAACTGTGGTATGACTATGCTGGGGACATTATATGAAATACCAGAATGTTGAATCTTCACAGAAATCTTAAGAAGTCTAAAGACAATGCCACAAACTCGCATATCAAAATGTAGCAAAACAAATATATTATTTAGTAATGGAAAGGTTAACAGAAAAGGCAACTTTTTGGTTGAGGTGCAAAGTTTTTGATCTGGGAATGGAGCTGAGAGCATTGAAGGATAAAATGGGTGAAAAAGTAGAAACTACTATTTCTGATAACATTATTTTTAGTATCACTTGACTCATTAAACTGTACACCTATTACTTGGATAAAAATAAATTTGAACGTGTTTTGAAATTTTGTTACTTTTTTCTTTTTATTCTTGAAAAAATGGATTTGGGAAAAATTTTTAAATTAATTTAATAAATAAACAAATTTGAGAGGAACATGATGGTACAAGCCTGTAATCCCAGCACTCAGGAGGCTGAGGCAGGAGGACTGCTGCAAGTTCTTAAGACCAGCCTGGGTTACAAAGTGAGCTTGAGGCCAGCCTGAATTGCATAGCAATACTCTATCTCAAAAAGACAAAACTAAATTTAAATTTTAACATTGCTCCTACCATTAAAAACTTCCTACCAACGCAGTGATAAAGAAGGCACTACAGGTGTGGGGGGAAGACAAGGCATTTGTATCTAGACACCTCCTTTTATGTCCTTTACCTCTTGCTCTGCACACTCACAACAGGAGACACCTGTCTATACCAATCTTTTTTTTTTTTTTACATTTTTTCTTATCTTTTTTTATCAGTACTGGGGATTGAACTCACAACCACCTGCTTACAAGGCAGGTGCTTATGTCGCTGAGCTAAAGCCCCAGTCTATACCAATCTTAAGAGAAGGCATAAAGTAGAGGTAAATGCATGGGCTTCAAATGTAAGAAGAGCTAGGGACGACATCTAGCCATAAAAACAAGCCACTGGAGACTTCTCTGTGGTCTCACTGGGCCTTAAGGTCTTCATTTTTAACACACAAAATGTTGGTTTCTAGTATACGACTACATGAAGAACAGATGTATGAGCTTTGTGTCCCTATAGCAAACATCTAAGACAAGCAACTTATATAGATAGAGGCTTTATTGAAGCTCATCGTTTCCAGGGTTCCAGTCCATCAGGCATTGGGCCCCTTGCTTTGTGCCTGCAGATAGGCAACGCAACCCGGCCAGAGCACACGGTGGAGCAAAACCTACTTTTATCAGGTGCCAAGAGGAAGAAAGAGCAAAGCAGGTGCCAGGATTCCTTAGTCCCCTCCAAGAGAAAGTCTCCAATGGCCTAAAGACCCCGTTAGACCTCTACCCTCAGGGGTCGCCACCTCCCAATGGCACCACGTTGAGGACCCAGCCTTGCCCACAGAGGTCTTTTGAGGACATTCCAGATGGACGCTGTAACGAGATCGAAAGCGTCTGGGGTTCAGCAGGTCCTCAAAAAGTGCGAGTTTTTTCTCTTGGGCTCCTCACGTCCTCTCTCTATATCTCTGTTCTTATAGGTTTGAACACAGGAAAGAAAAGTTGTGTTCTTTGCCTACCTTCTCCCCATCCTGTCTTGCCTGGTTTGAGGAATCCACCTTCTACAGACTAATTATATTAAGTCCTCCCCGGGCAGTTTATGTCAACATATTTCCACTTCTCATGGAAGAAAAAATTGGTCTTATTTACCTCAGCACTGTGCCTCAGCTTATTTTTGAGTGAAAGAAATTGATATTCAGTTACTAACTTTGGCTCCCAGCTCTTACACACAGGAGTAGATGAAAATTTCTGTTTAAAAATCGACTACAGTATCTATAACATAGTCAAATTCTAAATAATTCAGCAAGTGTACAAATACAACATTTTGGAATAAATATCAAAGTTACCAAGGATTGTGAGACCTGGTTGGGACAGCTGGGTAGGAGAGGTAACCGGTGGTCTCTCAAAGGAGGCCTCAGTGTAACTACAGAACTCACCTTCTCCGCTCACCCTGTGGTGGCCCCCGAGCTCGGGGACAAGTTCTCTGTGTGCCACTTCAGGCCAAGTATCCTCACTCCTGGAGGTCCACTTGTCCTGGTAGCCCTCCCCTTCCCAGGAGGCAGTGGGCAACACCTCAGGCCCCTCAGAAGGCAAAGAATTAGGGGAGTTGAGGTCCAAGAGGAAGCTATCCTGTAGGGCTTGCTTGGTGGCCTTCCTGCACTTTCTCTTCTGATTCTCTGAGATTCTGTCACCTTCTCCTGGTCTTGGGTGGCCACTGTCAAGCTTCCTGGTGAGCTGGAGGAGCTGATCCATGTCCTTGGTGAATTCCAGCAGAGTACCTTCAGAGAAGCTTTGGGCAGTGCCCTCAGAGCCGTAGCTAGGAGCCTTGTCTAAGAGCAGGTGCTCTGAGCAATGGCCAGCTTGCGAGTCCTCCCTCAGCACTGGTTCAGGCACTTGGGGAACGGCGCAGGGAACCATGGACAAGGAGAAGTAGGAGTAGTCCACCGCGACATAGGTCAGCATGAAGCTGATGGTGACGATGGGCGCCAAGATGTTCACTTGCCCCACGAGAACAAAAGCCATGGTCACCACGCTGGTCAGGCAGATGGCTGCTACAGGGGTTTTGTTTGGTCCTTTCTGTAGAAATAAAAATAACATCCAGACTATGAAATTACTGATGGAAAGTCTCAGAATTTACATAGAAATCAGACTCACAATGGCTCAGCCACTTTTTCCCCATGTGACCGCTCCTCTGTAAACTCGGGAAGATAATATTCAACTCATGGGGTCATCGTGAGCCCATAGCTAACGCCTGTCAAATGCTAACGCAGTGGCCACGCACAGTGTGGTGCTGACACACGGCCAGGGTTATGTTAGTAACTACTCACACAGGGCACTACTGAAGAATGTCTGGCATCTAATATTTTCTCGTTTTGATTAGTAAAGTTTAACACCACCCTTGGAAATCAGAGAGGCAAAGCTGATTTTTTCCATGGAGTGGCAGATTGTGGAAGACACGGTAGTTACCAGTGGCTGACCGGTAAATTCTGATAGTGATCACACACATATGTACAGCTCACAAGTACACTCCTTACATACACTGCTATCAGCAAAGGAAGGCTTGGTGACCTTCGAGTGGACAGGAAGGGGGAAAATGTGCTACTTCCACCCCTGGAAACTGCTCATCAGACACCGGAACACTTCTCGGGAAGAAAGGCACATTCATTTTTCAGTGCTCCTCCTTGAGAGCCGTCCGCACCAGCTTCTGACCTGCCTCCCCACACTACTGCTCCCTCTGAGTTCCCTGGCTGCTTCCTTTGTGTCTCTGAAAGCCGCATTGAAAGCAGCCTGGGCTCCCTGCTCAGATCCACCCTCTTCTCTCTGTACCACTCCACAGATGACCTCACACAAGCTCGTGGCTTTCAGTGCCAGCTTTATGCTAACAACACCTAAACTGAAGTCTCCAGCTGAAAACACTCCTCTGAAATCCAGGTTTAAATCTCCAACTGAGTGTGCCCTCACCAAAAGACACCAAAACAGAAAGCAAGCCGAAGAACGGGAAAACCTAATTCAACACTATAACTGACAAAAAATATCTAGAATATGCAAAACATTTCAACAAAAACTGGAAAAAAAAACCCTAAGCAAAATGAGCAAAAGATTTAAACAGGTAGTTAACAGAGGAATACTCACCAAACATATAAAAAGATGTCCAACCTTATCAGTAGTTGGAGAAGTGCAAATTATTAATATTATTATTATTGTTATCATTATTATTATTATTTGGTACGAGACAGAACTCATGACTTTGGCTTACCAGGCAAGCTCTTGAGCCAAAAAGCTAAATCCCAGCCCAAGAAATGCAAATTAAAAACACAGTGAGACACCAGGTGGGTACCCATCAGATTGGCAAGAACTTAAAAGTCCAATAATATCAGGTATTGGCAAAAATATAGAGCAATAGGAGCAATTGTTGGTGGCTAATAGGAGCACAAGTCAGTATAATTACTTTGAAAAAGAGTGTTATGTACTAAAAACTAATCACTTTGCAAATGAGCAGCTCCATCAGGGAATTCAGAGTGCAGGAGGTCCACATTCTCAGGAATTCCACTGTCCTCTCTGTGATTCCTCCAAATAGTAAACAAGCCGCTGTTATCAGCAACTATGAGGCTTTCATAGACATAATGACGAGTGAAAGAATCAGCCACAAAAGAAGGGATATGTGTGTGTGTGTGTAAATATATATACATGTATGTGAGCCAGAGCATCCTTAGTGCAAAAATCCTTTATCTGAAAAGTTCCAAAGTCTAAAACTTTTGAGTGCTGAAATGATACCATGACATGCAAAATTTCACATAATGAAACTTTGTTTCATGCATAAAATTACAAAAAATATTTTGTAAAGTTACCTTCTGATTACACATATAATAAGGCTTATAATGAAACACAAATGAATTTTGGGTTTACCTGGCTTCCATCCCCAATACTTCAATATGTATATTAAAGAATATCTCAAAGTCAAAACAAAAACAAACCAAATTCAAAAGACTTCTGATTCCAGCCTTCCAGATAAGAGATGCTTAGTGTGTATTTAAAACTTGGAAGCAGGTGTTTTGTTTAAAAATGCACATATAGGAAGTGAGTTGCAAACTACGGTCCCCGGGCCCAAACCAGCACTGCCTGTTACTGTGTGCCATGAGCTAGGAAGGACTTTACATATTCAAATATGTAGGGGAAAACAGGGAAGAGTAATATTTTGTAGCACTGAGGATTACATGTAACTCGAATCTGCATCCACGTAAGAAGTAGATATTGTCTGGGCCCCTTCCGAGAGCTACAGCAGTAGACCTGAGCGGTGGTGACTGCAGTGCGCTGCAAGGCCTTACTGCGTGCTATCTGACAATTTCCAAAAAGTCTGCAGACTCCCGAAAACAGCCATAAAGAAAGCAAGGATGCCAGGAGCGATGGCACATGCTTGTGATCCTAGTACTCTGGGAAACTGAGGCAGGAAGATTGCAAGTGTGAGGCTAATGTGTGCAACTCGCTGTCTTAGCGAGACTGTCTCAAAATAAAAAGTAGCTCAGTGTGAAGGCCCTGGGTGGGTCCAATCCCCAGTAGTACAAAAAAGGTGAAGAAAATGTTATGGCAGAAGCTGGCCATGGTAGGGAGAAGGCTCTGAACAAGGAGACGGTGGCGTCTGCAAGGGGCCTCACAGAGACGCCAGCGGTGTGCGCTTTGTAGATACCACTGAAGCTGCTACTGACGGCTTTCACCCTTTCCGTGCATTGATATAACTCAAAAAAATTTTTGAATTTTATTCTCTTTCTTCAGTAATAAAGAAAATGAACCGATGAAATGTTACTCTATATACAGCTTTGGGGAGAAAATGTTCCAAAGTTAAAAGATACAACCAACGAGGAGAGATATTTGTAATATTTATCACAGAGCTAACCTTCCTAACAAAGAGAGCATCTAGTAATTGAAAAGAAAATGACCAATTAATCACACACACGCATGCACACACACACACACACACACACACACACACACACACACGAAGAAAAGAAAAGAAAAGAAAAGAAAAGAAGCTATTCCTCTTTAACCAAAGCTTCCCTCGTGAGAGAGGAATGCAGATCTCAGAACCTTAAGGTGCCATTGCTCATTCTACGATTGCAGAAAAATTCACAGCTGACAAGGAGCTTTGGACCTACGGCTGGCTAACGCTGGGTTTGCTGCCTAGGGCAAAACTGCAAGTGGGTTCCACATGCCCCGTGCCTCATATTCACAATTACAAGCCATGCCAGCAACCTGCTAACCCAAGCATGTCCCATCCTCCTTTGCTGGCGTGATGCTGAGGGAGCCCACATGTGAGTCCAGAATTCTCCACCGCTCAGACTCCTCCCTGAAAGACAGCCGACCTACCCCCACCTCAGAGCCCATCTCATCCACCCCCTGGGTCACATCAGGGAGGTTCCACACCCGTATCCAGAATCTCACCCTGCCATGGCCTCACATATGCAAGGCAAGTCCTCTGCCCCAAGCTATAGCCCCAGACCTTTGACTTTGCTTCTAATGGAGAAGGATCATAATTTTGTTGCTGTTGAAAGTCCGAGATGCTGCTACAACTGGTTAGCCATGTCAGCGCCGAGGAGCTGGATGGCTGTGACATTTAAGATAGTTTATCTGATAAGCCCCAGCCTAAGCCAGGCAGAGGACAGGACTGAGGGAGGTGACCTCTGTTTGTCTCTTCCCAGAGCACTTTGCCAGAGGCACACATCAGGAAGACACAAGAAATTTTTTGACCAATAGTTGTATTATCAGAAAAACCTGTTTGGAAAGAAAAAAGAAAAGAAGGAGACAGAGAGAAAAAAGAAAGAGAGAAATAAAAAGAGAGAGAAAGATGAAGAGGTCACTTACCCCTTTCCCCAGGCAGGCAAGTGCAGGGATCACCTTCTCCTGGGCAATGCACTGCAGGATCCGGGGAGCCCCGTAGAGTCCCCCCATGCAGGAGGCCAGGGAGGAGATGTACAAGCCCAAGAGGAACAGGAAGCCCACCAGGGACACCTGCGTGAGAGAGAAGCTTCATCATCACTGTGGGTTGGATACTGAATGTCCCCCGTCTATATGCTAAGTGCTTAGTCCTTGGGGTGGTGATATGGGGCGGCAATGAGATGTGGGAGGTGGGAGGGGAGGTTTCGGGTCACGGGATGAGCCCTCAGAGGGGAGTGTGGATCTCAGTGGCTCTCTCCTTTCCCTCCCTCTCTTCTTCTCTCCTCCTCTCCCTCTCTGTCTCTCTCTTTCCCTGGCCACAAGGTGAGTAGATTTACTCTGCTATGTGCTCTTCACCACTGTCATTTGCTGTCCCTATTAGAGGTACAAAGTAATCCCACAGATCATAGAATGGAACCTCTAAAACCATACGCCAAAACAAACCTTTCTTGTTTATAAGTTAATAGTCTCAGATGTTTGTTATAGGGACTGAAAACTAACATAGCCATTCAATCCCAGATTTGTGTCTGCCTCTTTCTACTCCCTGGCACTCATGGACCAACACTGCCTAAGTCTCTGCCACACTCTCTGGAGTCAGCCTCAGCTAGCTTTCCCAGTCCCAGCCCCACAGCACTTGATTCCACTAGTTGAGGTTAGTCCATCACCTTGGATGGGCTGTGCAGTGGCTCTCAAATAGAGCTGACATCAGACTCATGAACAGGGTTCAACAAAACAAGATTTCCCACCCTTAGAGTCTGGTATTAAGGGGAGACCTGAGGATATGGATTTTTAACAGGTGCCCAAGTGCCGCTGCCACCAATGGGTTGGGAGTCACGCTGTGAGAACCCTTGGCCAATGACACAGCCAGTTGGCCTTCTGCCTCTGAGCAACCCCTCTCTGGACCATTCTTCTGCCAGCATGACTTCTGTAGACTCAAATCCATCCTCAGAATGGTTCTCACTGGCCTGACAAGTGATTCTGAGCACGCAATGATGGGCCAGCATGATTTCTTTGCCTGGAATCTTACTGTCCACATTCCCTTTTTTACTTAGTGTGTATTAAACTCCCAAGTGGACATCAAGTCTCTGCACAATCCTCACCTCCTCCAAGAGACCCCTCAACAGCTCTGGGTACTCTTCAGTGCTCCATAGCACCTCAACATGACGTAGGGACAGTACCTGTGTCTTGTCTCCTCTGCCCAGTCACAGGCTTCGTTTAGGCAGGTCTCCTGTCTGGTTCAGTCTTGTGTCCCTGGTGCCCAACACAGGTCCATAAACGATGGACAACCGGATGGATGGATGACACCCATGACCAGATTGGCCATGGGCACCAAGAGATATAGCACAGTTGGTGCCTTTGCTGTCAGCTTGCAAAAGATGAGCAATGTTTTTCAGGCAGTGGTGGCCCAGGCTGAGTGAGGAGCCCGCCAACAGCCACAGGAAGCCTCTGTTCTCTGGGTCCTTGTGGGGTTCTCTCCCTTATACCTTACTTGAGGCACAGTACACAGAACTGTTGGTCCCAAGGACTCATTTTTCCAACTACCACAGGTAGGTTAGACGCAGTTTTTACGTGTGTCACTGACACACACTTTCTGCACGCCCCATATTTACTTCCTTCCTCTTGCAGTGAACCGGATCCATGTCATCAAGTCACACCGGCCCCGCGCTAGCCCTGCTTCCTGCCTCAGAAACTGCCACAAAATAATTTCATGAATGCAGCATCAGCTGGGGTTCTGGGTTGAAGAGAAACACTTAAAAAATATAATGGTGGGACACTACAGAGTCACAGAATCACCAGGAGGCTAAAATATGTGACTTGGAAAGGGACAGGACTCAAGCCTAGGGACTCCCAGACTCCTCACCAGGGGACAGTCAGCCTGGGCTCCGCCAGCACCCCTGTAACCTTGAAGATGAGTTCCTGCCTCTCTGTAATTTTGCCACATTCAGCGCATTTTGGGCATCTGATGGCCTAGCCTTGGTTCTGTACCCTCCCATGCTGCAAGAGACAGGCAGGAGAGGTTCTGGTTCTTCAGCTTCTGAGTATTAAATCACTCCGTTCAAGGCTGCACACAAGCTGAATAACCCCTGTCAGATGGCCAGAGGGCTGGTGGACACACCAGGGGTCCCCTGCATCACCTCAGCCACATCTCCACGAGCCTCACCGTCTTCCTCCTCCAACACCACAGGTCCCTTGGGTCTGTGCCACCACCCTCCTTCAGTTCTGCATTATTGTTACAAGACATTCGTGTCAGCTGAACATCCTATCACTCTGCGACTCAGATGGCATTTTTGTTATTTCTTTCTCTTGGGAAGTTAATTAGGCTTGTGTCTTATCTTGCCTGTGCAGCAGGAGCTTCTCCCCAGTAGACCTGGGTCACACATGTCCATCCCGAGCCTGCAGCACCCAACAGAGGCAGGTAAACAGCACGCAGAGCTGAACGAATGAAGCCATGTGGTGTAAATGGTCCGTGCCCTCAAGCTTTCTCTTACAGAACTACCAGATAAACTGATTCCATGAGTTTCCCCTCACCCATCTGGAGGTTTGATCATTCATCTGGAGTCCATGTTTCTGCCTCCTCTGCCAAGTGCATCCTAGGTTGATTGGTTTAAAAAAAACTCTACGATGATATTTTACCAAAAGCAATTTAAATTTTAATTCCTCTCTGACTGTACTTAAGAATCATCCCAGAGGTGTTAAATTTATTAGTACTGAGTGGGACACAGATGTTGATTTTAAAAAAACCCTCTGGGTAGTTCTAATGTGCAACCCGTGGAGAACCACTGGGTAGGGTACATCCTATTGATCGAATCTGACCCTCATGGACCACATTAGGAGGGGCAGGCATGGGTTCTCTGCAGAAATCTGACTTCTTCTAGCCCGACAGGCTGCATGGCCATCCCTCCGTGTGGTTGGGGGATTAGTTCTGGGACCCTGCAGACACCAAAATCCACAAGTGCTCAAGCCTCTTTTATAAAATAGCACAACATTCGATTATAAGCTACACACATCCTCCCAGCTATGTTAAACACTCTCTAGATTTCTATATAAACCTTACGCAATGTAAATGCTGTGTAAATAGTTGTTATCTGTGTTGGTTAGGGACTAGTGATGAGGAAATAGTCTGTCCAGCTTCGGTACAGATGCAATTTTTTCCTGAATGTTTTGAATCCACATTTGGTTGGGTAAATGGCTGTGGATCCTGGAAATACAGAGGGATGACTGTATCAGTTTGTGTTTGTTTTTCTTTTCCGCCTGTCTATATCCTTCTGGTGCTGAACTCATCTCAGGCACTCAGTGAGTCTTGCCTCTGGGAATAGATGACACTGATGACTTCATTTGTGGCCACCTTCCACAGACACACCCTGGGGCCACTCCAGAACCCTCAGGGCTGGTGTCAGATGGGGAATTGCCCAAATATAATGACTTGTTTATGTGCAATTTGTCAGTTGTGCTTAAATGAGCTGCTCAGTTACCAGACTTTATATACATACAAAACTATTATTCAGTCAATCTTCTGAAAAGTAAGTGAAATGTTGGCGTACACATCCAGACAAGTTATCAAAACTCTGTTCTGTCTTCATTCCCCTTGAACCTCCCATCTTCCTTTCTATCTGTCACCCATCCATCACCCAGGAAGCGCTTCCTGAGGGTGATTATGTTCCTGGTTTGGGACAGGCATCATGAACACAACAGTAAACCATGCGGCTCTTCTTCCATACCTCAAAAGATTTAGTCATTTTCTCCCTCAGACTGGACTGGAAATTTGCTAAATGTGCAGTAAAAGTGAGCATTGATTTGAACAAATGTGTATCAATAGTTCTTTAAAAAGAAACCTGGATGTGCCTCTGTCAAATACCTGTCTGCATGATCGTGTGAAACATTTTCTTTCCTAAACATGATACAGGTGTGAACGACCTTCATTTCTCTTTTTTCCCTGCAACTACTGATGAGAATTAAGTAAGTATACCTTGCTGGTCTTGCTGGTTTTTCCATCTCCCATTCTGAGCTCCAGCTACTCAGGAACTCCAGCAATTTGCTACCTTCTCCCTTCTCTTGAAGGACGGACTATATTATGGTTTAGGACTAGAATGTCCACCAAGGGCCTCCTGTGTTCAGAGGGAGGGTTTTTGGAAGGTGACTGGATCACTGGGGGCACTGTACTCATCAGTGGACTGATCATAGCTAAATGTGCTGGCAGGGAGGAAGCCCTTGCTGGGAGAGGTGTGTCCCTGGGGCAGGCCTTTAGAGGGTAGGTCTCCCTCCTGGATCTCCACTCTCTGCTTCTGATTGTCACGCGTTGGCAGACTGTCTCCGAGCCAGTCAACCATGGACCGAATTGCCCAAAACATGAGCCACATTAAACCTCTCCTCCTTTAAATTGTGGGTGTCAGGCATTTTGTCCCAGCAATGGCAAAGGTGACTCCTATGGACAGGGTTTTAAATCATCTGCAAGGGACTCATTCTGTGTCCTCTAATTCCTATTCCCCTTGGTGCTCCTGAGGAGTGCCAAGGCCCTCACGAGGCCAGCAGTACTGAGGCAAGGTCTCAGCATCAGGTGAAAGCCCTGTGACGCTCTCCCACATCGTGTTTCCACGAAGGGACGAGTTTCCCGACATCCTGCTTCCTCTGTAGAGTCACCAGCACCTCAGGGCAGTCAAGGTTTAACCTCTTTTCCCACTGGATGACCATTCTCCATGAAGAGGCAGAGGCTGCCCTGCTTCTAAAAGGCCACGTGTGTCCATGCCGTGAGCAGGGGACAGCCCAAGCGGGCTGGTGGCAGGCGCTGAGCAGATGATGGGGAGCCCTCCCAGGCACAAGCCCTGCCCTCGCCCTCCTCCCATGGACGGCTTCTGCCACAGATCCCAGGTCCTCTTGGCGATGGGAAGCTGTGACCAGAACGATTGCAGTTTACTCTGGGGGATTTTCCATTTTTAACAAAAGATACTTTTGAAGTATTTTTCCTACTTAGCTTGTTTTTATTCTGCTAATTAGCATGCCTCAGGGCTCCCAAGGTTCTCAGTTCTTTTGATTTATAATAAACATCCATTTCCTGGACTGCACACCAGTCTATTTCACAGTGTTATTTGATCTATTTATTTCCTACTAATACTGTTCTTTACACAATTCTTTTCTATCTTTTTGGATTAACTATTTTGGATTTTCTATTGGATTAACTATTTGGATTAACTATTTTGGTTTTTTTTTTTTTTTTTTTTTTTTTTGTCTTTTTCGTTTTTATTGGTACCAAGGATCGAACTCACGACTGCCTGCTTGCAAGGCAGGCGCTTATGCCGCTGAGCTAAATCCCCAGCCCCATTGGATTAACTATTTTGGCTTTTCGTATTCAGTTAAACATGGTGGGTTTATGGAGAGAACATGTGTCCTAAAATGCATCTCTCTGGAGAGTATCCCCCTAAGGAGTGTGGGGTATTAAAGTTCAATGACACAAGTGATAAGCCAGGCACCGTTATTTCCTGTTACCTTAGAGCCACTGCAATGTGGGAAGATTGTTAAAAGCGTCCCATTACTGAGACTGACAGCCAGGAACTAAAGAAAATTCCTCTGGGATGGAGATGAGAAGTGAAGAAACTTCTTAGAGACATGGTAGGTTGGGAAGACAGACATTTTGAAATAAAGCAGCTGCTGGACACCCAGAAAGAAATGGACGAGCCGCCAGCTGCAGATCAGGGCAAGGGACCCCTACCAGAGAGCATAGCTGTGGTGGGAAGCACCCAAGGGGAGGAGAGGGATGCTGAGGAGATGCAGGTGAGCTCAGTGAGCTCAGAGGAGATGCAGGAGCAGAGCTCAGTGGGCTGCAGGCTTCCGGGGTGGCGAGGCCTGGCTCAGCAGGGGTAGCCCCTGGCTAAGGGATCACCGACCTGTCTCCCTGTTGGGACCGGAGGCTTTCCCTGTTCTCAGGTCTATTACTAGATGTAGAATTTCCACCCATAGGAATTGTTTTCTTGCATGTGGTCTCTGGGGGATGTTTTTAACCTACAGCCATGTGACTTTTATTGGGGTACAGCCACCTGCCTTGCCATATACCTGCTTGGAGAATCTGTCTCCCACCTGGATCAGCCTGTGATGGGTGAAGGGAGCTCTGGGGAGGGATCCACTACAAAGGAAGCAACTTTAGGAGGCAGAGTTAGCCAGCTTCGCATCACAGACAGACGGCAAGCAGTCCCCCTGGTCAGAAGATCCGTCTCAAATCGGGCATAGTGGCAAATGTCTATAACCCTAGCACTCTGGGAGGCTGAGGCAGGAGGATTGCAAGTTCAATCCCAGCCTTGGCAGCTTAGTAACTTACAAGACTCTGTCTCAAAATAAAAAATAAAAATGGGCTGGAGATGTAGCTCAGTGGCAGAAAGCCCCTTGACTCAAAATACACACACACACACACACACACACACACACACACACACACACACAGAAATATAAAAGATCTTTTTCATGTCTGCTGCTTCCTCAGGCCCTTAATTTCCTAAGGCAGTGAGCTTTCAGCCAGGGCCCCCTGAGGTAAAACTCCAGACTGTCAGTGAGCACAAGTTCCTTTGCTGAAAGCAAACTGTGACCCAGGGGTCTGAGACCTTAGCAGGGGTGTCAGGTCTCCCACTATCTTTTAGAACCTGCATTTACTAAGATCAAGACCCCTCAAAACACATAGCACCCTTACTTGAGGGTCTACATGCGCTGATGCGGAAACCAAAGGCATCTTAGAGAGTCAGTTCTTGCTCTCCTGGCTCAGGTGGCTGCAGACACTGTGGTCCTCCCCCGTGGAGACCATTGAGCTGCTGGCAAAGCCTCCCTCTACCTTGGGAAAGGAAGCGCTCCATCTAAACAGCAGCGGAGCCCTCGGGAGTGAACTGACTGTGCCTCTCAGAAAATGACTGAGGCTCAGGCGCCAGGCGCCAGGTCTCCTCTGGGGATTTAAGAGAAGGCAGGGATTTTGGGGGATTTTCCGAGAAAGTATGGAAACTGCATTCTCATGGTGGCAAACAAATATATCCTTGACGTCGCATGACCTCTGGCCTACCAAGGTGGCTAATAAACAAGAGAAATTTGTTAATCTCCTGGCAGGGTGTGTGCCCTAGAGGCAAAAGTATTGCTGCCAAATCAGCCAGAGTTTTGGAGACTCTCAGGAAAGCCCCGGGTGAGTCCTCCCTGCGTGCCTGAGGGCCTCATCCTGGGCCCTGCTCTGCTCTGCAGCCTCTGGCTTGCTTCTCATAAGCAGAACTTCCTGTTCACAAGAAACGCCCAAGTTCACTGAGCTGGGAACCTGGAGTGACCACATTCTTCTATCGTGGCCCCAACGGTCACCGTGAAGAGATGTCCCCATGATCTAGTCACCTGCATCTGTGTAGGGAGGAACCACGACCTGTTCCCTGGGATCCTGAAGCAGAACCTGCACATTTCCCCCCATCTCTGCCTCCCCAGATCTTCAGTCCAGCTAAGACCCCACGGATCCCCACACAGGACCGCAAGGGGAGGCAGCCCTCTGCCAACAGGCGTGAGCCACTGACCCCAGCAGACGAGGATTCTGACCCTGAAGACACCCACCTTTTCGGCTATGAGGAAGTCGTAGCGCAGGGCCTCTCGGGTGCAGATGGCGCCCAGGAGGAAGGTAAAGATGATGTACAGGAACCACCTGCAAAACCCAAGCACAGAGCAGAGCTTCCACCTGCCCTCTACACCCCCCGAGTCCACCTCTTTCCTTTCCATGGGAACCTGTCTCAAAATGAACCCCAAGCCTGGGCAGCAAGGCTTCCTGCTGGTCCAGGAGGACGGTGCTTGTACTGTTTCTCTCCTGTATGGTTAAGAACCATAAGAACCAGGAAGAAAAAGGGACACCATTACTGTCATTTTCTCTATATTAAAGAAAAAATCTCAAAGGGTCTTGGGGGGTCAAAAATGGGGGTGCCAGCTCTCTCTAATGAGGGCTTGGGCCAGGGTAGACCCACAGTCCCACACCCCAGCCTCCCTAAGCCCAAGAACCTGCCTGGAAGGCTGCTGGTCTGTGGGTCACACATAACAGAGCAGCCTGGCTCTGCCCCAAGATGCCCTGCAGGTGGGCACAGGCCACATGGTCCTGGAGGTCTTTCCACTCCTGCCTGGGCAGCGAGAAGACAGCCAGGCTCCCCCCAGCCCGGGTTCCAGCTGTGACTGAAAACCAGGCGGGGGTCTCAATTCCGCCTTCGTTTCCCACTAACACTCGATTCTATTCCAGTTGCCTTTATTTTTCTCCCAGTGTTGCTGTCTCATTTTGCCCAAATGCCCTGTGCCCTCGTGCCCTGTGCCTGGCTGGTAGCAACAGTGCCATTGCATCAGCTGAGAGCAAACCTGGTGTTTGTGAAATGGGCCTATTACTATTTTTTAAGTCTTACAATTAAAATAACTCAGGCACTTTTAATTTCTCAAGCCGAGGCCGTGTCTATGATCTCACCGCCTAGTCCCATCTACCCAGTGAAGGGCAAAGAAGCTTCCTTCCTCCTCTGGGTACAGAGACAAAAACAAAAGATTCTAGAAGGTCAGAAACAGACCAAGGCCACCCAGCCCAGTAGTGCGGTAGCACAGTGTGAACTGAAGCCCCAGAGGCCTGACAGTTTGGGGGGTTCAGGATAGGGTAGTCTCTGTGCCTTTATGCTCACCGTCACCTACAGTCTTGAGACACACATGGATCACTATCCCCATTTTATAGAAAAGGCAGTGAAAGCTCCGAGAACCAAGTGAATTGGTCAAAGTCACCCAGCCAGTCAGCTGCAGAGCTGGAATGTAAATCCTGATCTCGCTGATTGCAAAACTCTTGTCTATACACTCTCACCAATTGCTCTGGGAAGTCAACCGTTGAAAAAAAACTCCTCAAGTTCAAAATGAGGGTGAAGAAAGGGCAGGGGTAGGGAGGAGGAGGCCAGGAAGAAGGAAAGAAAGGCTTTGGACTGTGAACTGTACTGAAGACTCTCCCCCCTCCCCCTCCCCCTTACCCCCCCTCCCCTCCCCCTTCCCCTCCCCCCTCCCCTCCCCCTTACCCTCCCTCCCCTCCCCCCTCCCCTCCCCTTACCCCCCCTCCCCTCCCCCTTACCCTCCCTCCCCTCCCTCCTCCCCTCCCCTCCCCCCCCTCCCCTGTCCCCTCTTCCTCCTCCTCCTCGGCAGCGTTCCCAGGCGGGAGGTGTGAAAGGGCAGCGTCTGAGCCCACCAGACGGGAATTTTCTAGCCCGCCGCGTGTTAAAAAGCGGATCCCAGTGTAAAGCAGACCAGCCACAGTCAGGGCACTCTCTGAACAAAAGGGCCAGCCCTTTCTTTTGCCTGAGTTTTTTTCTCTCCTGTTTTCCAGCACAGACAGCAGCAGGGAACTTACGAGATGCCCACTGCTGCCAGGGAGCCCAGGGGGATGCTGTCCGAGGGCTCCCGGAGGTCGCCTCCCATGTTGAAGCCTGCCATGACTCCTGAAAGACACCCAGAGGGAAGTGGGGTAAAGCGGGGTGCTCATGAGTCCCTGTCTCCCCCCCCCCACCTTCCCCTCCTCTAGGCCTCTCCTGGAAGCGGCCCCTGCAGCCCTCCCATTTGCAGTCTCCTGGCAACTGAGGAGGCATCCATGTGGCCTTGAAAGGGAGCTTTGTGGGTCAGGTGATGCCTAGGGGGGAAACCCTCCAGCTATGGAGCAGTTGTCACCCCAGCAAAGTGCAAGAGGGCGAGGTGATGGCAAGTCACACAAAGGTCCCCCTGCCTGCTGAGAGCTGCCTTCCCAGTGCGGGCAGTGCCCTAAGTGGCTCCACCTTAGCAGCAGGCATTCAGCCCTCTGCTCAGCAGATGTCCTTGCCTACTGCCCACTAACTACACGAGGAATTCGAGTGTCCTCAGGGTCAGGTGCCATGTCCAGCAGGACCAGACACCTGGTTCAAAGCTCCTGAGCTATCAAAGGGCTCTGGGCAAGCTTCAAAAAATACTCCTGATGCAGCCAATACTGTATCATCTCCAGTCCCCAGAAGCACTAAAGACCACGAAGGACTCCATCATGGTACGGGACCAACAGCACCATGGAGAGCACGTGGGGAGGAAGACATTTCTCCCAAACACGGGAAATATGTGGAAGCAGCAGACCCAGTCTCTGAACTAGAACTGAAGGTGTACCCACAAGGTCTCTAACAACTCAGTTCCTGTCCAGCCTGGAAGGAGCACTTCTGATCTGATGGAAGCCTTTTCTGCATTTTGCTTAATTCTTACTACAACCACATCAAAAAAGTAGAATTATTTCCCCACTTTATAGAAAAAGTACTTGAAGAGGCTCGTTAAAACAGCCAAAGGTCCCATGTTCAACCACGCAGCGAAGCTATCATTCAGTGCTGGTCTGTCTGGCTCTGAAAGTCTGCTGTTGGTGCCCTGCTCCAAGGCTTCAGGGAATCCCAGGTTGGTAGTAAAAGTCAGGGACCAGGAGGTGACAGTGGGACTATTTCAAAGAGAAGTGTGAATCTGGGGGCAGGACCTGTGCCTGACTGCTAGGATTTTACCCAAAGTAGACAGTCAAGGATATGAGTGAAGATTTAGCAAAAATACTTACAAAAACTTTATAGTAGTAAAAATGAGAAACAAGAATGTTTAAGAATAGAGGACTGGCAAAGTAAATGAAATGTCTTTCAGTGAATAACAGGTCTTAAACCAGATATGGCAGCATAAACCTATAATCCTAGCACTCTGGGTAGCTGAGGCAGGAGGATCAAAAAGATCACATGCTTGAACCCATCCTTGTGATTTAGTGAGATGGTATACAAAATGAAACATGAAAAAAAGGGCTGGAGATATGGCTCGCAGCAAAGACCCTGGGGTTAATCCCCAATACTACAAACAAACAAGAAACGGATTTTGAATATTGTCAGAGCTACGCTATATCATAGGAAGATATTTAAAGCATTTGTTCAGCTTTAAGAGGCATATTAGAAAATAGAACATGTGTTACAATCCTGTTTTGCTGGGAGAGAGAAAGCAAACATGTTTTAAAAGATTAACAATGTTGCTGAATGTGGTGGCACATGGCTATAATCCCAGAACTCAGGAGGCCCAGGCAGGAAGATCACCATGAGTTCAAGGTCAGCCTGGGCTAGTGAGTTCAAAGCCAGTGTGAACTACACAGCAAGACCCTGCATCAAAAGACAAAAAAAAAGAAAAGTGAATAAAGTTGTTTTGGGGTGATGCAAGAACAGATCTTTTTCACTTGACTGATTGATTGATTTTTGGTCTTTTTGCGACAGGGTCTGGCTGTGCAGTTCAGGCTCACTTTATAACCCAGGCTGGTCTCAAACTCACAGTGATTCTCCTGCCTCAGCCTCCTGAGTGCTGGGATTACAGGCATGAGCCACCGTGCACAATTTTTTGTTTGTTGACATTTTCTTAATTTTCTAGTGATCATTTTGAAAGGTAAGGATAACAAAGAGTTTCTTTGTTTAAAATGGCCCGGTAGGCACATTTTTCTTTCCATGTATTTCCCTTTCCTTCTTACGAGCCTATTCAAAGAGTAACAAAGGCTGCCTGGCAAGCGCCAGTTAGGAGTTCGATCCCCGGTACCAAAAAAAAAAAAAAAGTAAAGGAAGAACATTAAGAAATACCAATAAACAAAGAGAATTGTATCTACTCTAAGTAGATAACATGTTTCCACAAATGTCTATGGGCTCTGTGTGCCACAGAAGACAAAAAGCATGACACGCTGTGACAGGGGAGGCAAGGAGAGCCTGGGTCCAAACACACCGCCTGTGGAAACCCACGGCTGCCAGTGTGGATGTGGCACCCCAAAGGAAGAGCCAGCTGCCCAACAAGCACGCTCAGTCTCCCCTTGATCTTGGCAGGAATAGACTCCGATGCCCCATAACAAGGGGACCCATGCCAGCCACCACAGTCACCAGCATGTGACAAGAACCAGCTACCCCATCACATCCTTGCATAAACCCAAGTGGAGCAGTCTGTGGCAGGACCACAGAAATCTTGGCGCAGGAAGAATTCTGCAGAAACACTGAGTGGTAGCTCCAGGCTCACCCAAGAAGAACATCACATCTATAAAACAAACCCGCCTAAGATGCTGTGGCAAAAATCTAACAAGAAAGAAATGATTAGAATTTAAAATTTGATAATTAAAATTTAAAAAAGCAATAGATCTCTGGGATGGTTTGAATCAAAAATATTCCCCCAAAGGCTCACAAATTCAGAAGTGGGGTCTGCGGAAGGTGGTTAGATTATAGGGCGCTAACCCCACCAGCGGACTGATCACAGGCCGTGGCTGAGGAGCAGGTCCCTGGACACGCGCCTTCAAAGGATACCTCTCTTCCTGGCTCTTCCTGCTTTCTGGGCTCTGGCCACCACTAAGAGAGCGACTCTCCTCTGTGCTATGGTTTAGAGATGGGTGTTCCCTCGGAATCTCATGGGTTTGCGAGGTGGTCAGATCATCAGTGCGATCATCCACGGATTCAGAACTGAACGTGCCATCAGAGGCATGGTCTTGCTGGAAGAGGTGGTCGCTGGGGTGTGACCTGGAAGGTTTACCTTCGGCCCCGGCTCCTCCCTTCACTCTCTGCTTCCTGGCCTTCCTCCACCCAGGCCACCACTTCTGCGTTTCATACTACCAACCCTGCACTGGTACCACGGAAGGAGCAAGCTTTTCTCCTGTGAGTTATGCTTGTCAGGTATTTTTGTCCCAGTGACAAAAAAAACAAAAAATACAGTCCAAAACACAAAGTTAGATAAATGTCCAAGCATTTAGAATAGAAAGAGAACATTTGTATGAAATCAGAGAAATCTTGGAGTTACAATGGACAACTAACAGAAGTTCCAAAGAGAAAAAGAAAATAACCAGGTTGGTAATAGAAGGTAAATTTCCCCAAACTGAAGACACAGATATTTAACAGAAATATTCCACCAAGTCTCTAGCACAAAGAATGAAAAAAAAAACCTATACCCAAATGCATCCTTGTGCATTTTCAGGGGTCTAAATGCTACCAAAGATAAACACTGAGCGCTAACCCGGGACAAAAATTGGACTGGCATCAGACTTCTTTTCTTCTGTACCGGGAATCAAACTCAGGACTTCGTGCATGCCAGGGAGGCACCATGCCTCTGAGCTACATCACTAGCCCTTGGCATCAGAATCAGCAACACTGAATGCTGGAAAACTCTGGAGCACTGATTTCTAAACCCAGAGTGAAAATTACCTTTGAACTAGAATTCTGTCCAGATTACCAGTTAAGCGAAAGTAAAGTATATCAGCCAAGAGTTTAGAAACCACCTCTCCTGCATCCTTTGACCGCTACAGTATGTACTCCAGCAAAAGTGGAGATGGAAGCCATGAAGGAAGGAAACGTGAGATTTCAAACACCAGTGGCGATAACTCAGGAATAAAGCGAAGCAGGGAAAGCAGCAGAGACTGAAGCAGAAGGACTGGGTGTCTCTCTCTGTGTGTGTGTGTGTGTGTGTGTGTGTGTGTGTGTGTGTGTGTGTGGTGTCCCTATGGGCTGCTGCGGGAGAGGAAATGGAGAGGGATTTAGTGACTGCTCATTTTGGCAATAAAAAAAAAACAAAGGCTTCTAAACTCAGGAAAAATCAGTAAGAAAGTCAAAGTATAAATATAAAGCAAACTAAAATGTAACATGATCTTAACTAATAAAAAATAAGAAAAATTATCCTGTTTGATCATGTCATTAGGAGCAGTCTCTCCTAAATGACACAAGGATCATATTGGACTCATACTGAGCTCATATCTTGCTCTTCAGTGAATAACTAACTACTACACAGTCATAAGACACATGTTTATAAGTTTTAACTCCCAAAATTGACCAAGAGGGCAGAGGACACGATGGCATACACCTGTAACCCCAGCACTCTGGGAGACTGAGGCAAGAGACCTCAAGTCAAGCCCAGCCTGGGGAACTCAGTGACTTCCTGACACTGTCTCAAGATAAAGACTAAAAATGGGGCTGGAGATGTCGCACAGTACAAAGACTCTGGGTTTAATTGCCAGTACTACAAAAAAGTGTTGAAGTCAAATACAACTATTGTGCACCTTAACGACATAAAATCAGGTTACAGTTAATCACTATTAGGGAATGAAAGGGGAGGACAAAACCCACTAAAATCTTTATCATAGTGATGTTGCAAAATAAGAAATGTAAGTCCTGTGATTTTTCACTGGGGAAGATTTAAGAGCTGCAATGTTTGCACAAGCTTTAGTCCAGTAAGAAGACTTGAAAGATGTTTCAAGCAATCTCTCTTGGGGGGATTCAACCATTAATTTGTAGGCAGACAAGGAAAAAATAGCAAGTACACCAGTTACAATAAGTTTTACCCTATACTTATTTTAACATATCTTGTCATAAAATTGAGTTTCTAAGTGGTTACTTAGAAGAGTAAAGAAATTTCCAATAGTGTAGAACAGCTTATCTTCATAACTCCAAAGACTGTTGACTTA